AAACTAAATGCAAAAGGGGAGAATCCAACAAAAAGAAAGTCATTACAATAATGTCAATATGTATCAGTTATAACCATCAGTGTTAGTGGTCTCAATAAACTAATCAAAAGAAATTGACTGCAAGATTGGGTAAAGAAGCAAGAATCAACAATATGCTGCATACAAGAAACACATTTGCTTCAAAAAGAAACTCATAGACTGAAAGTTAAAAGATGGAAAACAATACTCCATGAGACAGGAACTCCCAAAAAAATCAGGGGTAGCTATCCTCTTTGCAGATCAAATGGATTTCAAACCAATACTGATTAAGAGGGTCAAAGAAGGACACTACTTCCTTGTAAAGGGAAAAATCTAAGATGAAGAAATGACAATCATAAACATATATGCACCAAATACTAGTGCATGAAAAAATACTAACATACATGAAAAATCAAATAAGTACAAATACAATAGTAGTGGGGGAACTCAATTCCCCACTGTCACAAATAGATAGATCAACTAGACAAAAAATAAATAATGAAATACTACAACTCAATCAAACTCTTGAGCAAATGAATTTAACAAATATTTACAGAGTGTTCCACCCCAGAAAATCAGAATACACAGTCTTTTCAGCTGCACATGGGTCTTTCTCCAAAATAGGCCACATATTTGCTCTTAGAACCTTTCAGTAAGTGCAAAGAAATCAAAGTTATTCCCTGTATATTAGTAGACAATAGTGTGATGAAATTGGAGATCAATAGCAAAAGAAACTGCAAGAATTTCATGAGCACATGGAAATTGAACAACACATTTCTGAATAACCAATAGGTCATAGAGGAAATTAAAGAAGAAATCAGATGGTTCCTTCAATTTAATGACAATGACAATACCACATTTCAGAATCTATGGGACACAATGAAACCAGCCTTATGAGGGAAATTCATAGAGGTAACTCCTAATATTAGGAAAACAGTGTGAGCCCAAATGAACAACCTGATGCTGAACCTCAAGCTTCTAGAAAAATAAGAGCAGGAAAAATCCAAAGCTCGTACAAGAGAGAAAATTATAAAGATCAGAGCAGAAATCAATGCAAGGGAGATTAAGACAATGATACAAAATATCAGTGAAGCAGACTTGGTTCTTCGAAAGAATAAACAAAATTGACAAAACCTTAGCCAAACATATCAGACAAAGGAATGAAATGGCCCAAATCCATGCAAATAGGAATGAAAGGGATAACATTAAAATGGACCCAGCAAAAATCCAGAGCATTATGAATACCTACTTCAAGAACTTATATGCCAATAAGATAGAAAAGAGAGAATACATGCACAGATTCCTAGATATGTATGGATCACCAAAGTTGAACAAAGAAGACCTAAAAATTCTAAACAACTCAATATCAATCAATGAAACTGATAATGTAATTAAAAACTTACCAACTAAGAAATGCCAAGGTCTTGATGGCTTCACCGCTGAATTTTACAAGACATTTAGTGAGGAACTACTGCCACTACTGTTTAATCTCTTCAATG